CCCCAAAACCCCAAAACCCCAAAACCCCAAAACCCCATTATTATTAGATATGGTTGAACTGGAAACCCCGAAATTTTACCAGAAAATGACGAAGCCATAAGTAGCCCAAACGAATCCTACCCAGTCAGCAGACTTCAGCTTTTCAAGTGGGAATTATCCCCAAAGCTGGTCTTGCAGAATTTTGGATCCAAAGAAGTCCTAGAGGGGATAACTTGGAAAATACCAACTGAAATGTATTCTTGGGAAGTCAATGATGAAGCCTAGGTTACAAGAGATAGATTTTCACTGCTTTTGGACGTTTAGAATACACAGAGCTCAAGTTTTAGGGACTATTGGGCATATTTTTATGAGATATCTTGTTTGTGAAATTAGAGTGATTTTAAAAATGGCATATCTCGGTGAATTTGAGAATCCATATTTGCCAGCCAGATTCTAGCTTTAGATCTTTATGAGCTTTGAGTCAATATGCACTCGCGTTTGGGTTCAAATTGATAGACCGCTTATCTAATATAATAAGAAGATACTATAAATGTAAAAGACCTGACTTAGAGGCCTCATTCGAAATTGGAGAATAAATGAGTCAATGTCGCCTGAAAGCAACTGACAACGAATAATAATTTATCCAAGAGGGAGAGCTGAGCCTCAGATTAGCTTCTAATACTTCAGCAGATTTCCACAAATAGAAACACTAGCTTTTATAATATTTATAGGCCAGTTGTCTTTGAAAAAGACCTGATATATCCAAAGTTACAAAGTAATTTATTCGAAACGGAATTTTTAGCAATTTAAATTAAGCTCGATTATTGATTATGTCTTCGTAGAGACTCCTGAATGTTTCCATATACTTTTCCTTGTCGTTCTTCATGCATTTCTGCTCTGTCTCCACCAAGTGGTCGATTCACCTAGTGCCAGAGTGGGATAGCTGCCCAGCATAGATAAACTGGAGACATCTCTGGAAGTATTTTCATTCGTGGACTAAGGCATACTTGGCTCTTGTGTAGCCAGTCATGGCTGCATTGACGACTTCAGCATCTTTGAACGGCTCTGAATTACCTTCCAGGGTATCTCTTGAATTAATTCTGAATATTTGGAAGAGGAAAATGGCCATATTCTTGTGATCATCGGCCAGTCCGAGATCAAGAAGCATCTTCTCTATTCTCTGAATCATCACAGAGAATTCGAAGTTGACGAACCTTCCCTTCACAATATCTTTGTTATGATTAATAAAAATCCTGTGAAAGAATCTCCTGACCATCCTGAGGATGCCTTTGTTAATGACATCCATGCGAAGTTTTTCTTTTTGCTGTAGTTTAGTTCTTAGCTTCTTTTCAGGGGATTTCAATTTTCTAGTTTTTGTCTGTCGGGGTTTGATAAGTTCTTGAGGAGACTCTTGAGGAGACTCTTGAAGAGATTCTTGAGGTTCTTCTTGAGGAGTTTCTTGAGGAGTTTCTTGAAGAACATCTTGAGCAATAGATTTCTGATCTACTATTGGGTCTTTATTAGGTTTGGAAACTTTGAGCTATAAGAAGGATAGTCTAGGCAATAAATGTTGGCTTATCAATAATAATTACTAAATGATGGCATCAAGTATTTCATGCCTTGATATAGTCTCTGTAGAGATAAAGTAGGTCCGAAATTTTGAAAATTGTAAGATAACTCACTATACTTCTACATGAAGTACAGTAAGAGAAGACAGGAATAAAGCATGAAGGATTAGGACATCATAAATTCAAGTCTTTTATAAAAGATCTGAACTGTTTTCATCAAAGTCCTTCACTATTTTATGACTGGCTTCTTCTACCTTGCTTCATGTAGATGTATCTCCACAGAGACTGAATTAAAATGTGAAGACTCAATGCCATTATGGAGCTGTTATTATTATTTGGTCAACATTTATTACTTCAGTTATTATCCGTGTATTATAGCTTTGAGATCTGCTGACATATGATTTCTCTCTTTCCAATGTGAAGAGTAATTCAGTTGAAAGATCTATTTCTTCAAAAAGATTCATTTGATTTTCACCGCTCCAGTCAAGGCTGATAGGATCTTCATCGGCCTATGGAGTGATTAGATGCTGGCATTTCCTAGCATCGAGGTATAAACCTAAGATGTCGAAACATCTACCAGGCCTAAGACCAGAGATCAATGAAGATGTTTGAATCTGGATATTCTGGTGCCAGTTCAAAACTTCACCGAAATCTGGATTCTAAGGCATAATAAACGCTTCAAAAATAAGGAAAGGGAATACCCAGTCCAAGACTTGATCTGGTTTGTATCCAGATTATTGAATTCATTTCAAATAACTTGTGCTTACCAATAAGCTGAAGTAGTGGTCAATCTCTTCGCATGGGAACTCTTCGAAAGGGAGACAATTGTTGTTAAACATTATATGATATAAAATTTTTGAATTAAAATTTAAACTCTTTTCATGCTATAAATAGACACCCGGGGTTTTGGGGTTTTGGGGTTTTGGGG